TGCGGGAGGTGTTTTTTTTTTTTTTAATGCAAATCTGCGTATTGATTTTTTTTTAAAACAAACAAACAAACAAATCCACGCACACGAGCCTGCCTCTGGGAGGGAAATAGCCAGGTGAAATCTCACTCTGTTTCCATGGACAACCCGTCCATTATCACCCAGGTGACTAACCCCAAAGAGGAGGAGATCCTGTCCTGCACTCAGGATAAAGGTGAGCTGCCTTCGCCGGTGATTCTCTAGAAATCTACTTAAAAACGCACGGAGTTAACAACTTGCCGCCTTTGGCTACCGTATCCTCCTTTTGCTAGAGAGGAGTAGAGCAGGGCTTATTTTTCGTGGGATGCAAATGTTTGCCTGCAGACCTCTGAAACTGCTTGCTGGATGCAACTAGGAACTTGTTACGGTGTTTAAATATGAAGTTTAACCGACACTAACTTAAATAAAATATGACGTTTCTGAGGAGTGCTGATGTAACTTCTCTAAGGTTGTCGCTTGGCCGTTGGTAGGGTGCTCCGGGGGGAAGATAGCTGGGTTGGATTCGTTAGAAGGTTTTGAAATCTTGGCTTTGAAGAATTCTTTTGCTTCCCTGCCCTTTGGAAAAAGGGATTCCTGATTTCTCTCCTTGTCCTCGTCTCTGTTTTCCCCTGCCTCATATTTAAGAATTGGTCTGCATGGCTTTTAGTTTTTGTTGAAGGATTGAGCCTCTGAAAGAAACGTGGGCTGCTGCTTTTAGAAGTAGGAAGTGGAAACTCCTCTGCAGAAAAATAGTTGTTGCTTGTGCATAACATCGCGTTTCGGTTGTATTTTGCTTACTCCAAAATAAGATGAGTTAAGGCTGGCCAGAGGAGCTGCTGCTTCTGGAAAGTCTAACCACTGACAATTGCCCTTAACCTCATTTCCTTTTGGAAGGTTAGAGGGTCTTGGACCGTAGGTGGTTGTGTCCTCATGGATAGCGATGAGCAGTGCTGGATGAGTGAAGGGTACTGCGTAAGTGACAGGGTTCAAAAATCTGTGACTAATCACAAACAATTTCCAAGAACTTGAAGTTATTTGTGTATTGAGTTGTCTGCTTTGTTATGGGCAGTGCTGGTTTAAAAAAAGAGAAAAGAGCAAAAATTGCTTGTGTGTGAAAACAGGGTATATGGTGATATTGTCCGGTAGAGACGGCAGTAGACCTCCAAATGGTCTTCTAAAAACGATAGACTGGTATCTCTCCCCCTAAATTCCAGTGCTTTTAATATCCAGAAAATAACTTCCATTTTTGTGTAGCCCATCTTGTAAATACTGAAGGAAGGCTGCATAGTTAGAGAAGTTGCTCCCTCTTTCATTTGAAAGTGACAGTTATAATCAAAGTCTGCACGTAAAATGACTGTCTTCTGATCCAGTGAATGCTAACTGCAAAAGAACTGTGGAGATGGATTTTAAAAAAAATTGTGCCGGTAAGGGATGGGGAGTTATTTCAACTAAAGATTGTTTTTCTCATTTGGTGTAGGAGTGCTCACACAAATCTTCTGTTGTATCACATAGCGCTACGCTGTGAGGCCTTGTTCATCTTGAGAGATTTCTGATATTTTTCTCTTTTTTGGCAACATCAAACATGGGGTAGGCTACACTGAATAAAGGTACCGATGCTGTGCACATGATGTTCTGTAAGACCTGTTTTGGAGTAGACTTTCATGCTACAGCGCTCAGATGTTGCTAGGGTCTTAAAGGCCTATATTGTGAAGTGCTTCATTGATACTGTTAGTAGTTAGTTGAAATTTTAGTAGTTTTTAAAAGAAAAAGCTAATTGACACAAATAGAGGAAAATCTGACAGTTTGAAATAAAGAGTAAGCATCCACATCAAACAAGTGTCTCCAAATCCTCGGTACAGTGAGCTACACTGTGTAGGAGAAAAAAAAGCATATAACTTGCATAACTATGCAGTAACTTGCATAATATGCATTGTATTCTTGCTATTGGTTTGTCTGTGTTAGGGAGAAAATCACGATGATCTTAATTGCATAGTAGGGGCTTTTTAAACTGCATGTAAGCAAGAGTGGGCTGAGGAAGGGTGGAAGAAGGGGAGTCAGAGTTTAAAAAACAAGGAAAAACCTAGCATGATCTTAATATAGAAGGTAGACTAATTTTTTGTGTGTGAGGCCTTTTTTTTTTTTTTTTTTTAATTAAAGTACATATTTTAGATTTGACTTTCTTATTTCATAACATGATAATACATGCTCTGTATTGAGACTCTCTCAAATCATTCCAGAGGAACTTTCACAGAAGGAGAATTGTAAATCTCTTGCTTCCTGGGCTCTGGAATGAGGACACTGACTGTTCGTACCCCTTCTGCTATAGGTTTCCCTCTGCTCAAGATACTGAGCTTGTGGAAAATGCATTTTGTACCTACCTTAGTTTTGTGACTGCCTACCACGTCACTCACTTTTCTCTTATATTTCCTAAGAGTTCTAGCAAAGCTTTTGGATACGATGTGCTATAAGCGAGCCCAAAGCTGAGATGGTGAATATAGTGATGGAAGGGATTTTAAGGTTCTTAATGGAAGACTATGATGTTTAAAGTGGGCGTTTGTCACTTATTTAGATTAAACTGAATGCATTCATACAAAATGGCTAACAACTATATTGGGGCAAAGTAACGAGTGGTTTAACTAGTACAAGTATTATTTGGATTTATGTTCTGTAATTTTGTAACATAATAAATTACAACAGCACTGTGCTATGTGAGCAAAGGCTGTGCAGTTTAATGAAAACCTGCTTTTTTCCCTATGAGTTTAGGATTTGGCCACAAAAACATATTCTAAAATACCAAATATCATGCAGTGGCATCAGGACTCAGGGTTTTCTTAAGATCTTGGCGGGCTCCTGATGGTGTTTCTTGTGTAAGTTCAACTTTTTCTTGCTTTTAAGCTAAAGAAAAGCAGCTTTACAGTAGCTGAGCAAGTGCAAAATACTGCATGCATGTCACTTTTTTTTTTAAGATTTTTTTTTTTTTGAAGCTTTTAATCAACCATGAGTTGAGCATTTACTTTTTTTTTTTTTTTGGGGGGGGGAGATGTTTGTGTTGTGAAGGAACTTAACATACAGTCCATGCTTTTACCCAATTACTATGTAAGGATGCATATCTGTCAAGATATAAGGCCTGTTTTCTCATAGTCATGGGGCAGTTACGTTTTCAGGTAAAGATTGTGCTTTACAAATAAAAATATTGTCCAAATATTTTCTTGCTAATCCAGATGTGTTAAAAGTGAGCTACTGAGATAAATGAAGCTGTGACAACTTATTAAGGGGCAAGCTACTAATACTAAGATGAAATTGTGAATGAATTTATTTCTAACAAATACTTTAAAATTTCAAAGGTGAGAGGAAAAGAAAAAACAGATCTTACTGTATGAACCGTTCCCTGATATGTTGCCACATGGTGGTGCACTGTATTTAGTTGTCTGTCAAAATGAAGGTTGAGCATGGAAAGTTGTTACAGTCGTATTTTATTATTATTGCTATGTTTGCTCTGAAATGTGTGCGGTGCTTATGCTCCTCGATGATTCTGCTCCCTACCTATGTTGTTAAGTTAGTGCTGGGAAATAGAAACTTACTCATACTATACTAGTTGGAAACAATGTATAGCTAATAAAAATCTTTTAATCAGTAAGTTAATAAAGATTTTAATTCTCTGTTAGTTTTTAAGTAAGGAAAATAGCAGTTCTTCACAGAAATATGTCATGGTCGTTTGGCACTTTTGGAAATTTGAAGCATTAACAAGATTTGTAACTTGAAATTAAAATGGAGACGTAAGTATGTGAAAAAGAATTTTTTTTATACCAGTGATAAATGTGAGCAATTAAAAAAAAAAGTGGAAATTTGAATCTCAGCATAATCATTTTTACAGATAAAATCAACTGTTTGTTTTATAATGAAATTACTTATTAATCAGTTGAACAGTGACCTCTAACGTACCAGTTAGATCTCTTGAAAACAGAATAACAATGATAGGTCTCTGCACAGAGTATAATGTAGACAGTGTAGTAGATGGGTAGTAGTGTAGTAGACGGGTAATAGGCAAGCAGTCCAAATAAGTATGTTTTCTTTTTTTTTTTTTTTGACCTACATGCTTTATTTTGATCATCGTCACTGATATAAGCTCTGGGCTGTTTGCAGGTTCATAACTAAGTTGTAGGGTAATAATATTCCAGTCCTTTCGGAGTTAACAAATGCTCAAGATTGTGGTGCTTAGTCTTCGCTCTTCAGATACATCTTTCCAAACTTTCTGTAAAATTTGAATGTCAGCTGAGCACCTCTCTTCATTTACTTGAAATAAGTGCATATTTGTTGTCTCTATGAAAACGTGTTTTCTTGTGCAGTAAAGCATTTGGAAAAAAAAGGGATAATGGTTTAGATTCCATTTTTTTCAATATTTTTAATAAATAGTGTAATCCTTCAAGGGTGTTTTCACAAAAACGCAGGCTTTTTTGCCTTCCCTTCTTGGAAACAAAATTGAAAAACACAACAATACAAACAGTGTTTATGATCATTTGAAATAGGAAGTGCTTAGGATCTTAAATTGAAAGCATATCTCTAGAATGCAACCAAAGTAAGTGTCTTTAATGCTATCTTCAAGAAAACACGTTTTGAGAATACACAAAAAATATTTAGAGTAATCCTTTATTTGTCATTAATTCATCAGGATTTTAACCACTTGAACATTTGAAGGTGCATTAATGCTCTTGAGACATCGTCTCAACACATTTTTATAATACTAGCTACAATAGTTGCACTTTAAAAGTAACATTGAAAAATGAATGTGGAAGCCACTCCAGGATTACATTGGAATGTGAATTCCATGCAGAGGGTGAAGTTTTAAATCATTAACTAATGACATAGTTGTTACATGAAACCAGAGTAACCGTAGGGTTGGTTTTATATTCCAGGGTGACTGTAGCAACCTGTAGTAACCTAAGATTTGATTTAAGGTAGCAGTTAACAAGCTAAAGCGTACTGGCAGTGAAGTGAATGGTAATTTGCGTGAATATCTAATATTCTGTCAGTAAGCTACAGCATTATCATTTCTTTCTGACTGCACATGTTATCTTGATTTCATATTTGTTTTAATGCAGTGATTTAACCTAATGTTCAGAAGTTTAATACACCTTTAAAAAATAACAAAGTTGACCTGTATGTTGTCAGTTGAGTATTCAGAAATGTGAATGGCAA